AACTACTTAATTTTCGGTTGTATAATATAGTTTCATAATTTTGATTTTTGTACAATTAAGAAAAGAAAAAAATTATGTAATAATAGATAACAAAGATACTTTGGTCATCACAACTACTGCAGTAAGCGTATGACACTACCTAATGTACTAATAAAAAATATTTTTACGTGGAGATTGTAAGCTGGTAAACTATATACTAAAGAAGTATAATAATATATAATAAGACAGTCGACAGTCACAAGTATATTATTATGTTTTAAAATGCATTCTTTCGAGTAACAATATTTCGTCATGCTACTTCACACCTATAATTACTCTATGATTATATTTTATAACATTGACTGCTTTGAGATTATCCTTAATAGTATATTGTATATACATTCGATTTTAACGCAAATTCAACATCGTCTACCCTACACAATAATCAATAATTGTAAACACGGAATAAAAAAAGAACAGATTGAACACGCCGACTGTGAATGCAATTTCAAGTTTTAAGTGTAAAAGTTGTTTGCTGTTTGCATAAAAATTAAACACCTGGCGATGGCGTTAAGCCAAAACTCTAACAGCCGTCAATATTATTGTGCTAAAAAATAAGTACAATAAATACAATACAATACAATACAATACATACGCATACTGCATTTACTATTGGGGAATTCCTAATTAATGTATAGGTATTCAATATGCATCGGTATAATATGTTGTTTTCTAAAGAATATATTATTAAAATGTACTTAGTTCGATATGCTTAATTATAATTTAACCAGGGAAAAAACTAAAAAACATTTTAATTGCTTTTTTGAACTATGAAATAAAACAACTTTTTTGCTTTTGCAATAATCAAGTATCGCTTTAAAAATATATTATTAATAGATATCTTTAAGTTCATAATAATTATAAAATAGAGTAAGTAAAATATCTATTGATCGTATTATTATGATCATTATACTATTACGTACGGATACGATGATACAGGCGATGGAAATGTAGTCGAACTGAAATTATAAGGTAGGCAATTTTAAAAACAGCGTATCAAAATGTTGATAGCATTTTTGAAGTTATTCGGAGATGAAGTGCCAGTGTAACATTAATATTTAATATAGATAATATAAATATATAATACATTAGTACATAATACCTAGTGTCCCTTATTAACATGTGTCAATAACACTGTGGAATTGAGGACATTATATTATGGCAAGAACTCCAAATAATGGGTTAGTGGTTTTATTATCTACTTATCCCGAATTTGAAATCGTATACCTACTCTATACAATATACATTAGGTGCATACAATATTTTGGTTGTTTTTTGAATATAAAATTATATGAACAGAAAATAAAGATATCAAAATGTCCTGTTTCGGTTGTCTGCAGTCTGACCTTAATTTGATTTGTGATATCAGCCTATTCCCTAATATATTATCCTTTATAATATTCGGATAAGTCATCGAAGGAATTTGTAATAAATAATAATGGTGATTGATATAAAAGTAGTTATAATCAATGGTTATACTATAGTATAAAGGCTATAGCCGATAGGTCATATTAAAATCTAATACCTAATGCATTAACGTAATATGCATTTTCACATTTTTTTTTTAATGTTTATCTATTAAGCAGTCGATCATATTTAATATTTTTATATTAATTGTACATTTTAAAATTATCATAACTTACTTAAAAATAATAATATCAATAAAATCGTCCGAAGTGCCCTAGATAATATTCTTACCTTTAATTTATTTAAGAGGTAAATTCACTCTAATTTTAGAATTTACAGAATAAAATATGTACAATTTGCTATGTTGTACAACATAACGTACGTTTGTAAGACGGAGACAACAATTAATGCCAGTGTGGTGTCCTATTAAGTGATACATATTTTGTATATTTCCATTAATTGTAATCGTATTGTTATTAGCAAATCAAAATATGAAAAAATATATTCTTGTAAATTACAAATTATTAACATCTGTATTAAAATGTTTCAGTAATTCAGTTCAAAAATGTTTTTTTTTAGTTAACAAACTAATGATTATTGCAAATAGACATATGTAAACAAAAGAATCATTCAAGCACGTTCCAGACACAGTATTTTTAAGCGAGAAATCAACGTAGTCAATGGTCGTAATTACCTATGTATGAAATGTACCATATTCCTAAAATATAATGAGATTACAAAAATGAATGATAATACACGTTTTTAACTACAACAATTAAACATTGTTGATTTGGCCTGCAGGAACTGTGAAGTGCATAAATTATAAAAAAGTAATAGTTAACTAGGTAATTTAAAAAAAGTGCCAACTCTTTTTTACAAATAATTATATTCATAAAAAATATAAAATGACAGAAGTTTTAAATAAAAATTTCCAATTACTTTAAAAGGTCACTTCATAACAGTTATATTAATTTTGAGTGGACATGAGATGCATTTCAAAAAATATATAATTATTTTTTAGAAGGTTTTTTCCTATAAGGTTGGAATTTTTTATAGACATAGGGAAGATGTGGGAATAACGGCAAATGTTAGTTTGCCGCATATAAAAATTAACAAATACAAAGCCGTCGTTACCCCATCAGATTTGACCGGAATTACTACCATCATAGTTATTATTTAAATACATGTATTTACTTTTAAAAAGTCGTAATATTTAGGGAAATTACGAGCACATAATTGTAATCCTATTATTACTTATAGAGGTAAATAAAACCATTGATGTAGAAAAATATTTAAAAACTCTTACATTGAGATGATTTTTAATTTTGAAAAATATTACATCAAAAGTGATGATAAAATTGATAAACTTTTGGTGGGAAAAATTGTGTTTATTATTTTGAGATATCTGGTATTAAGTTTTGATAACACTTATTAATTAGTGTGAAAACTGAAAATCTAAATTTTAGCTATCATATTTCATGTGATATGTCACTTGCCGGAATTATACCCACTGGCTGCCATATTAAGAGGGGGGATCTTCCCTACCTACAGGGATATTTTTTCACGAATATATTTATTATGTAATTCAAATTTAACACATAAAATACAGTGGTGACTGATGAGGAACACATGAAACATACTTTATACAGCAAAGCATGATGGTTCCTTGGTTTTTATCTCTAATTATTATTAAAATCGTAGTATGTACTTCGTAGAATCGATTAACCAAAAAATACTTTAATTGTTCTGTATTACGTCGTAGTTTCGAACTTAATTCAACGTTATTTCAGGGTCCATTTGGGGAGCGGTACTAGTTCGATGGGAGGGGTGGTGAGTAAGATGATTTAAAATTTTGTAAATGTAAATGGTCGTGTAAAATAAAAATCTGTGTAAAATAGAAATCTGTGCAAAATATGTGACATGCAACTTTTTGCTCACTTTTTGTTCCAAGTCCAACAAATTTGTCATATTTGACGGATTGTTAAATAAATCGTAGTCGTATGACTATACTGTGACAGCGGTAACGATGAATGCGGGCGCTTTGACAACCACAAAAGAAAAAGGGTCGTCCAGGAAAACGTTGCCGCCGGCGTTATATCGGTGGTGGAAAGCGGACTTTTACCCCGTAGAATTATGTAAGTTGAGACAGCTGTTTTTCGCAGAGTTCCCCTCATACACATAATATTATGGTCGTACAGCTAATAAATAAATTAATAAGCGCCGTTTGGGTTCATCACACGAGCATTTAAGAAGACCTCTTATACTATTATATTTTACGTACCGCCAAAACGGGTAAAATGAGTAAGAGTTTGAAATTTCCCAGCCTCCTACAACTTCAATATTAATTTTTTGAATCTGAAAAAAATCTAGTATAGATGCACAATATAAATGACTAAATTTGCATAAAAAAAAATAATGTTTAACTGCAACTTGGTACCTTGGTTAAAATCTCTTGTATCGGTTCCGGTATGTTCAAGTTACCCTTTTTTAACAATGAATAATAAAATCATTCTTAAAAAATCATATTATGAATATTTTAAAATAATGTTTAAAATATGCGTGTAAAATTTTGTGTCTCAAACGGTTTCAGTTTGGTGACTTAAATTTGGTCTACGAAAAATGTGTTTTTTTGTTAACAGTTTGTAACATTAATTTCTGTTTAATGTTAAGAAATATCAAAAATTCTGATAAAATATTTCTGATTGGAAATGTAACAACATAAAATATTATGGAAAGATCAACGATATCTGAAGAAAACTCACGAAGTTTTATCAAATTCATTAAAGAAAAGTCACAGTATTTCAAATCATCGCTCAAGTTCCATTTCACCCGCTTTGACGGTAATCAAGAAAGAGAAAGGCGTAGGCTATCTAAAATGGTTGAATCTTGAATAATTGACCCCGCTTTAGTATTCCACCCTTTTATACCATGGTCCCGTATCCATACAAAGTTCTAAAATGCATTTATTATTTATCTTTCTACGTAATCAACGATCACCACGCGTCCGAATTGGATTTGGACTCCTACACCCCGAGAAGTACGTAGGTGTATTTATCGCAACACGGATTGACCACTTTTAATTATTCCTAATGTTCGGCATGTATATTAGGTTTATCACATTGACCTTACAGATTGTCATTATAGTCTACCACATACCAAATAGCGTAACCGAGTTAAATTGATGTTTCGGGGTCAGGAACGAAATTTCTACGTAATTTTGATGAGTGGTGACGACAATAGCTGACAACCTTATTATTATCTAAGTAGAGTCGATGTATGTCTGCGAATAATGCTCAGAGATGGCGCAATAAACCGTGCAGTCATGACGTCATAGATTGCCTGACACGTTATCGGACACGTCCGGGTACGGTAATGGGGCCAAGGTCACGGAGAGGGTGACGACGACGACCTCGACTGGGGATCTTGGAGAAGAGTGAAGGGAGGGGGTTTTGGAACAGTCGAGACGTAACAAACACAATACACCGCCTGATAACAAATTTAACGAATTTACATATTTTGTACTTACACGATTCAACGATGGTGTCAGTGTGACGATGAGAAGGCGAGCAGAAGCTGCTGCAGGCGGACACGTGGGCGGCGGCTCGGGCGTAGTTCACTGGACATCGTGTCACCCGAGTATTAAGGGCCAAAATCCAGTCTCGTCGGGTCCGGAGCGAGCTTCCGGTCTGGTGAAACGGTCCAGCCACCGAGATCGAGGTGCAAGGTTTTACGAAAAAAAAATATGTGAAAATCGAAACAAAATAATATTCGTCGTGCAATGAAAAACAAAAATGCCGGTTTTTCCCCGCTTTGATGTTGCCGCAATTATTGTTCGGACTTCGGTTTAGCACGCAATCGTTTATACGCGAAAGACGTTTGGCGAGAGAACTCCGTTATCAATCATATGGATTTAATGGATTAACACGGGCACATGAGCCGCAGGCTGTTACAACGATTCGTGATAACGAGAATCTTTCTCGCGTTTGTGTTTCACGTGCGCAATATTATATGATATTATAGTATCGCCACTACGCCGAGACCAACATATGGCTAGAAAGCGTTTTTTGTGCACCGGCAGATCGCGCAGTGTCCCAGAAGCATTACACAATTTTTTTGCTCTACCAAATCTCCTATAGTTCAACAGTGTTGTAGTCGGTAACACCACTCATTCTGAAATATTTCTTGAAATAATGCAATTTTGCAGTTTTGCAGATACCACACCGCGTTCCACTGGATGGCGCCTCAAGAAATGTTTGTGGAGATTTTATCAGTTTTTCGTCAAAATTGTGTATGAAAAAAAAATGTAATTTATATGCACTTTATTATTGTAATATTGTGTATTTGTGTAGAATCTACGTTAAATGCGTAAGTTTCCTAGATCAAAAATTACTATGAAAATTAAATTACGGTTAAATCATATGTAGATAGTAGATACACACGAAAAGAGAATGAAAGGTGCTATTATTTTAGCCTTTACAGTTCAGGGGCAACATTTAGGCAATTTCTAATATGGTCTTAGCCGCCTGGCCTATGTGTTAGTTGTAAACGCCAAACGATCATTATTGTGAATACCATTCATTGCGGGTACCACTCTCGTACGCGCACACACTACACACATGTCAATTATTCGATAACAATACACAATTCACCATACGAATTTACGACAACTTACACATTGTTTTGACAAAATTAAAGATAGTTAACGGAAAAATGTCTGTCGATCGTACGAAACACTTTCCGTTTATAATTTTAATTTTAATACCTAATGATTTGAAAAAATCTATACTTACAAGTTTTCAATTACAGTTAACAATAATATAAGATTTAATTTTCACAAAGTGTTCCGTACGATCTATATAGACAATTTTCTGACGAGTTAAAATTTTTTTCAGAATCAAATCGGACAAAGCAATCTAAATTTCTTCAGGTCTTTTGAGCTAAAATGTACTGAAGTATAGCGGGGCGCCGGGGATTGCTCGTGTGTCTTTAATAATTAGGCAATATACAATTTCGTTGCCGGCGTTTGTGATTGTATGAGGGTACTGGTCTATGGTCTAAATACGCACGCGCTGCATTCACACACATTGAAACGCACCGCCAAACAAAAATAAAAAGCGTGATTTATTGCGAAAGCACAGGGAAAACTCTCGCGCATCGTTCGTGGTCTGATTTGATTCTCTGATAATTTTCTACTGGGTGCATTGGACTTTGATTTTTAATTTCGTTGCTTAAAAAGTTAAAACAAACAAAATACAAATAACAAAAATTTGTGAAAATTGGTCGTAGGTATTCAAAATTTTATTATTTGGTTTAGAAATATAATTTTGAATATCCAACTCCAATGCGCCCTGTAAGAAGAGTTTCTCTTTCCAAAAAAATTAATCGAAATCGGATAACTCTATAAGGCGTGAGAGTTTTCATCTCTGTTCTGTAAGACATGTTTTTGAGCAAAAAAACAAGTCACGTGCAAGCCTTTTAATAATTACGAATTTACGAAATGTAGACCTAATACTACCTTGGTGATTTGTTGGTGAGAAATAAATAAAGCAATAAATATTTCTGTGATAGTGGCACGGTGCATGACCGCTAGTGTACGATAGTGCACCTACCTCAATGCAGGGTATGCTACTGGAAGTGGTGGTGCAACAATGGATTTTTACAAATATATTTCACTTTACACTTGGGTGCAGTGGTGTAGCCAACACTATTGCTACCTCTGCGGATAGGCCACACCAGCTTAAAATTTCAACCTACCACTACCTTCATCTATCTTCTGAGACCATAAAATTATATGTTTATACAGTATCTACCTACATAACATGATAATATTATTCATCAGCCAAAATTCGTGTATTACATTTTTACAGATTAACATATTATATTATATTAAATAAATTAGATTAAATGACAATATTATTATTGATACTCGTATTATACAGGTATCACACCAGAAATAAACAAACAGTAAATTAAAAACCAATCACGATAACGAGTTTCGGGTAATCTATGAGTTATGACGTGACGTATTACGTATATAGGTAAATAAGTTAAGGGGCGTAATGCCGTAATCCATTCTAAGGAGTAAAAACTAGGCATTTTATATTTTAGTTCATATGGGTTTTGTGAATGTGTTGAAAGCAAATGAACATTAGTGACTAGTGTGTGTAATTTGTAGTGAGGATCACGTTTTATAGGGGCATTATAATACTTCTGTTATTTTACCTACGCGCATGCACCTGTCACCACTTATTACTTTATAAAATTACAAACATTTTTTTCAAAAAATACTGCCAGTGACTTCAATTATCACGCTCAGTAGGATGTTCCGATTTAAATTTTGATAGCAGATTTGAATTCTCCTCTAAATTTACTATGCTTTGACTGTCGTACATTTTTCATATTCTACATCAATGTATTTAAATTTTAATTATGAATATGATCTATTTTTACTCTTTTTGTTAGTAAATATCTATTTAAAAAAAAATCAAATTCAGAAAAATGAAATAGTCAAAGCATAGATAATTTAGTGATGAATTCAAATCTGCTTTCAAAATTAATATCAGAACGTTATATTGGGCTCAGTGATTGAAGTCGTGAGCTATGTTTTCGACCGAAAATTAATCACGCTCCAGCCCCTTAAGAGGATTACTTAAAAATAAAATAATAATATGAGCGATGAGACAAGTCTCATAACGCAATAATAGCCCTCCCCCGTTTTCCAATTCCCCCTGCTCACCGGACCTGGCAGAATGAGGAAAATTCGACATTGTCTCATATTTATTTTCCTAAATGTTCTTACTGTATTGGGTGTTTTACTGAGTTAGCCCACCGCTATAATACAACTAATCTATTCTATGAATACTAAACAAAACAACATTTTGACAAATATACAATTTAGTAAATTTCTTTTTGTATATTACTTGTAAAAATAAATAAAAAAAAAAAAGTGTCATTGACTCATAAAATTACCAACCTCTAATTTCATTTCATTGCGGAACGGCTGCAGCCTTTTAGTAAAAACCTTGTTTCTGTGCAGGATTTAACTGAAACAGTGCCGCCACACTTATTTCATAATAAGTATATGCAGTTGAGCAGCCATTGGGGGGGGGGGGGGGTTGAGAGTTTTAATAAATTGTGTTTTATATCTACATTAACTATGGTACCGAATTGTAATATATTCGTCTCAAAATCAACAACGCAAAGTTATAACGTAAGTAAACAAGTAATGCAATTCATCTAGATTTAATGTTTGACTTATGACTTGTACACTAAGTATTGAGTTAAGGCCAATCAGTATAAATAAACATATACGATCACTTTCACTATTCGATAAACCACCTGCCCGGCTGTCATTATCTGTCCTCGTATTATGTTAATTGTAACATTCCTGAATCCTCTCTCTATATGTCTAATTTATGGTGGTGCCAGGGGTGATTGAGAAGGGGAGGGTTAGCCATCCAGTTATAAAATTAGCCACCTCAAAAATACACACTATACCTAGGTACTTACTTATAAGTTATAACGAATACGAGCAAAATTTGCAATTTATTTATAATTGTTCATAAAATATATAAATAATTATAACAATGAAACCTAACCTATACATTATATACAGGATGATTGACAAAACATTCTCTGTACTCTGTTTCAATCTTTAATAAATTTATTCAAATTCTAATTTATGGAATATGTAAGTATGTGCACTTATAACGTTATAAAGACCATATTTCCAACTAGGTACTTAGATTTTTTATATCATAAAAATATATTGTTTGTACTAAAATATGTTTAGTTCTGTTTGATTTTTAATAGATAATTGGTATAATTTACAAAAACATTTTATCTCAAGGATTTTTATTCTGATTTCCCAATAAATCGGTGTGGGTAATTACGCACTAAAATATAACTTGTACCTACTAAACAACTGGGTTATACTGGCTCCATTCCCTCTAAGGTTTTTATATTTAAGTTTCAGTAAAAACTACTTTAGATGAACCTTCCATTAAATGTTCAAGACTATTATTTAGCTTTAAAATTTAAACATTTTATAAATTTTTGACTACAAAATAATTTACAAATTGTTGTTATTTTAATAAATATTGCCGAAATTTGAACTTTTAATACTTTTAAAAATTACTGTGACCACATATTTCCGCTATCTTTCAATTGGTATGTCAACAACTTATGAAGAAAAACTTTGTATTAAACTATCAAGCTTTTTACCGAAAAACAAAATTTGCATCATACATAAAGAATAGTTAAACAAATTTTGAGATTGAAAATAACCACAAACAGCATTAAAAGAGCTATAACATTTTGAAAATGTTTTTTGGTATAGAAAATATTTGATAAAAATAGCAAGTGTCTACGGTTATGCATTTTTTAATTTAAAAAAAACACTTCTTATCTACAAATTTCAGCTTAGGAACATTTTGGAATAATAATAATAATAAAGTGGTCATACCTAATAATTAAAAAATATATTATAGGTAATTACGAGTGGGACATTGATATACCCATTCAATATTTCAATAATTCTACTGTGCTCCGAGTTAATAATTATATTATAAATTGTACGTTATTACTGAGCATTGTATGTCACGAATCGTATTCGATTGCTATTAATGTGTCAAAATAAAAAAACAAGTGTGAAAAAAAATTAAACTTTAAATCTATTGCGACTGATGTAGTGACGTATAACTCATTAATCCGAATATCAGTGTCTGCGACATAAATATATAATATTATTTTAATTATACTATAATTTAAAGTACCTAATAAC